AGGCAGAAAGCACTTTGTGTAGATTACCAGTTCAAATACCCCATTGTACAGTAGAGTGCCTGAGGTAGCACAGAGTCAAGGCTCAACATTTTCCTTTAAAAACACATCTGGGACTGACGTAATCTGCGGCTGCGGCCGGCACGGTATGCAGGAACGCACCCGGTGGGCTTGTTCTGACTAAATTTAACAGCTGAATGAAGTATAAGATGAAGATGCACAGCTCAGTGCACAATGACCTTTCCAAACCTACAGTACAATACTCCAGGGATCCATTCCATCCCTCCTGCTCACATTCCAGCAGAACACACTTCAGCTTCCTATAAAAGTCAGAAAGTCCTGTGACGACCACTGTACTGACAGGTACCAGTAGGTAGCAGTAACCAGTAACCTTGACACAGGTCCATTTACTTGATGAATGTGTACTTCTCCGAGTGCTTTTAAAAGATTGTGCTTCAATTCTACTGAATTATTTGTGATTAAAGCAATCTACTTTCACCTGGTTCCATTATTGCTTTTGCACTTGATCAAAATGATCCCACAAAAGCACCTATGTTGACAGATTCAGCATGTTTTATTTATACACAAACACTCACCAAGCACTTTATTAGGAACACCTAAATACATACTCATTCATGTAATTATCTAATCAGCCAATCCTGTGGCAGCAGTGCAGTGCATAAGTATACTGATATGGGCAGCTTCAGGTAACATTCACATAAACCATCAGAATGGAGAATATATATATACAAATTCTGCTCATATGTCTTTCCATAGGGTCTTTCATGAAAACCCCCATCGCCGCTAGGCACCTGCGGAGGGGGCAGGGCTCATGCTGCCCATGCACCTATACTCAAATGACTGGGCTTCTTCTCTGTGGTCCCTTATAAACTCTAGAGGTTGCGATTTCAAGGCTTCTTTGTTAGATGACCAGCACAACTAAACTAATCTACACTGTCTCCACAATCGCTCAGGAGACGAGTGTGTGTAAGCAAATGTGCCTGACAGAGCTGAGAGCAAAGTGTGATCCTCAAAGACGGAAAGGCTGCATGAGGTGTCAGGCGTTTACTGAGGAACCCTGATGAGATCTGACAGTGCAGTTAAGAGATCTCTCACTCATTTGAGCCTGTTTGGTGGCAGGGCAGTGATACTGGACAGGGTCATGCACCCGTTCTCTTCACACCTGTCAGCCTGCTACTGACGTGCCAAGCCAGCACAACAGCAGAAGGAGAGGGAGAAAGGGGGAGAGACGGGGAGAGACAGAGAGAGAGAGAGAGAGAGAGAGAGAGAGAGAGAGAGGGAGAGAAAGGGAGAGAGAGGAAGAGAGAGGGAGGGAGGGAGGGAGAGGGAGGGAGAGAGGGAGAGAGGGGGAGAGAGAGAGAGGGAGAGGAAGAGAGAGGGAGGGAGGGAGAGGGAGGGAGAGAGGGAGAGAGGGGGAGAGAGAGAGAGAGAGAGAGAGAGAGAGAGGGAGAGAGAAATGCTGTGACAGAGCTGCTGTAAATGTGTGCTCATTCTGAAACTGATGTCTGCAACATGTTCCAAAAAAGTTGGGACCGAAGCAATTTAAGATTTGAACATTGTAAAATGTTCCAAAACAGTCTTCAATAGATGATGCTACCCTGCTTGGGTATTCATAGTATTCCGACGATGTCACACAATCATTCTGCCAGCTTTCTTCAGGCAGCTTCAATATCACGGGGCAGCACGGTGGCAACACTCAACAAATTTTTAAAGCATACTTACAAATACATTTGAGTGTTTTACATTTAAGTAATATACTTTATTTGATTTGTCGATGCAGTGATACCAAATGAAAGCTGCTAAACAGCTAAGATTTGCCACTGCGTTATTATTGTCACATCCTAAACCACATACTAGCACACTAAAAAGCAGGCAAAAAAACAGTACATATACTATTAGAAGTGCACAAGAGTGAGGTTTGGGATGCAGAATTAGTTCAGTCAGTGAGATGCATTCAACGTTTCAACAGCTCCAGTTGCATTTCCAATCTAATGTTTATGGTATTTCTTGGTTAAACGTGGTTTCATTGAGGTAAAATTAATGCATGTATGGCTTCTTATTCACCAGCTTCTTGTTTGAAAGGCACCTCAATGTAACTTTAATTAATTAATTAATTAATTAATAAAGAGTGCTAGTGGAATCACAGGTGACTGACTGACAAGTTAGACAGATATCATGTCTCAAAAAACCTATTTATAAACAGTGTCAGTGTACGTTTCGAACCTGCAGGTTCGCTTGGTCCTGCCAAATTTCTTACAGCATAAAAGAGGAGACAGTCCACAGGCTGAAAAATAAATGAGATCGCTTGTAATGCTCAACTCGGTGCCTGTTTACAGTGAAAGTCCTGCTTTTAATAAAAAAGAGCCACTTTTTTGGCCTCCCTTCGTCTCAGTCTGTTTATTCAAACTGGCTGATTTTAAAAAAGCACTCTTTAAAGTAATTTCAAAAAGAATGCTTTAAAAATATAAATTTTTAATCTTAT